TGCGGTAGAATTCTTGGGATGTGTGTTGCTCCCCTCGTATACTGAATATGCCCCATGGAGTTGGGAATTTGATGACTTGGTACAAGCTGGAGGGGGATAGCTCTCATGGTGTGTATCCATGGTCACCCTATTATCGCATTGTATGCCGTGTCCTGATCCATGATGTGGAATGTGGTCTCTAGAGTGACGCCTCCCGCCAGGACGGGGAGTGTGATCTCGCCAGATGTTCGCTCAACTGCATTGTTAAAGCCTGTTAGTGTGATGCAGCGTGGCACTATCTTGTCCTCGAGTTTCATTTGTGCAAGTACTCGAGGATGGATAATACACACGCCACTCCTATCGTCTACCATAATCCGTTTTACGTCGGTATCTAAAATTCGTAAAGTAATAACGAGAGCGTCATAGTGAGGGAAAACCAAACTATTGGTATCTGACTTATCGAAGATGATACTTTCTTCGAGTTCATCATACCGTTCGTTTGTGTTTGACTGATTGAGCTTGTGGGTTGTGGCGAACTTCACATTGTTAATGGCAGTGTCGTCCCCACCACCGATGATCATGTGGATGGTGCGGGCTAGCGAGGGAGGTTTTGGCTGCCATTGATGTTATTCACGTCCTCTGGCAAAGTTGGCCCTTCCCCGATCGCTAAGCAATTCTTTGAGGTGTCCCTGTCGTAACATGTTTACGACCTCCTGTCTTAGGGCAATGCAATCTTCGATTTTGTGTCCTCGCTCTTGATGGAACTCGCATAGGGCATCTGATTTTCTGGTATTCGGGTCTGATCTCATCTTTTGTGGCCACTTCACCTTTGGTCCGAGCTTCTCCAAGGCGTAAGCAATCTCTGTAGGTGACACGCAGAAATTGTGAGCGGATCGTAAATGGGGAATACCTCTCTCATTTCGGTAGTCCCTGTTCTTGATCAGGATGGGCCTTCTTCATGGCGGGATGAGGACACAGTGGTAGTTTTGACATATGGGAGATGTCGTTCCCGGTTTGGTCTTGAGGCCACGGGATCTCATCTGATATCATTTCTTCGACCTTTTCTAGACTCTGCTTGTACCGAGGTCAGTCGATGGGTTGGCCCATTGAATTCGTCATCGTCTGCTCGCACTTCGGCGCAATACGCGTTATGTATTTTGTCCCAAGTCGTTTGGGGATATTTCATAAGATGACATAATAATTTTCTTATCGCCCTTGAACCGTTTCTGCTCAGCCCATTTTGAAAAGCAACTACCGCCATTCCTTCCGATACATTGGGCAAGGTCATTCTCACTCTGTTAAAACGGACGAGGAAGTCCCTCAGCCCTTCTCCCGGAGACTATTTGATAGCAAATATGTCATTTACTCTTGCCTCGTCCTTCTTGGCCCCGGCATGGGTCGTCACGAAATTATCAGCCATTTCCTCAAAGGTTTCGATAGAACGTGCAGGCAGTTGCGAATACCAGGTTAATGCACCTCCCGTGAGGGTTTCGCCAAATTTTTTTAGCAGAATGGAGGATACTTGTTGCTTGGAGAGGTCATTGCCTTTCACGGCGATGACGTAATGGGTCACATGATCCTCGGGGTCAGTTGTGCCATCGTATATTTTCAGATAAGGCGGCATTTTAAAGGTCTTTGGTATTGCATATGGGGCAGTGCTATCACTATACGGCTGCTCGACGAACCGATCGGCATCTCTCTTCGCCAATAGCTTTGGAGTGCCCGGTATTTTATTGACCCTTTCTTGGTGTTCTCTCATTTGGTCATGAAGTGCCTTGTTCTCGTTTTTCATTTCTTCCATCCTTTTCAGAATGGTTGTGAGAGCGTCGTCGCCTGCATTGTTAACAACATTGTGAGTGATACTTGTTGTCGTGGGAGGAGGAGGAGGTTGATCATGTTGCTCGTCCACCGTTGGTGTAGCACAGGTTCTCTCATTTACTGCAGCCGCGTCCTGAACGAGCTTATGGAGGATGATGGTCAGTGTATCAGATAGCTAGGCCTCAAGGAGCTTCTTTATTGCTGGTGGTGCCTCCTCTCCCACGGGTGTGGAGGATGTCTTACCAAGAGATTTTGTGATATTGCAGTGGGGAGGGGGTGATCGACCTCGCCTAGGAAAGGCATTGGGTGTTGTGTCCTCATCCGCTGCTTCAGAGCTTTCGTGGATGATGTTCATGAGGTTGGTTGGGAGGTCACTCATTATTCTCGTTCTTTCTTCTCTATTACCTGCCATATTAGATCTATGCATGCACAGAGAAAATGGTTTTTTTTTACGTTAGTAACCAACGTCGATTGTAGATCTAGAAGAAACTAAAAGACTTAGCTAGAAGATCCCCACAGACGACGCCAAATTGTTTGACCAAAAAGTGTAACTTTCAGTTAAACTATTAAATTTATATAGTGATGGGTTAAATCTAGTTAAGGATAATAACTCTAGATGTAAATCTTAAAAACGTGCGAAAGGTGGGGACAAATCCCGCAAATGATTGATGACAACAAGTGCAAAGTATTCTTAAAGTATGAGCAATAAATGAGGTGTAACTAACAAGAAATAGCAATAAATGACATTCAAGTAAATAAGAAAAATGATTCACCCAATAATGGATGGATTGAGCGAATATTTCTCCTGCCAATGATGAGTGACAGAAATATCCAAGATTTGTTTGAACAATTTTCGGATCTGGTGGGAAGATGTGGAATAATATGAGCAAGAACCTTTGTCAAAAGGCAATCTTTGTATTTTTATATGTGGGAGAGAATCTTCTACTGAAAAGTGTTCTTATCAAATGAATCTTACATGCGCCTATCATTATCTCTTCTCTCTATATATATGAGACATTTTTCTAAGAAACCCTAGTAGTACAAGTGCAAAGAATATCTACTAGAATATTTCATTTTAATATCCTACCCTGACAAAGTAGCCGTTACAGCTCCTATCATCAATATTCAACCTCGACCTCGACCCTTATCTACATCTCGATTATGGCTCTCGTCGGCATCTCGACTACGGCTCGTGGTTGACACCTCGGCCAATGGCTTTGCCGCATCCTAGTTCACCTCGACCGACTCTTTCCTTGATGCCATATTACGCTAAATATCCTTAGGGCAAATTTTGGCATATACAATTATGAATTTGTCGGAATTAGAATAAGAAATCAAAATTCGTTTAGCTTTTACCTAATTTCTCTACCTTTACCTCCTTTCTATCCAAATGCTTTGTTTGGAAATTAACGAAAGCGAGCAAGTAGAGTTTCACTCAAACTTATGGTAATTAGCTATCAAAATTATCTAATTTTTTTGTTTTTGTCTTCTAAAAGTCACTTTTCTTTAACTAGTAGTAATTGTTAACTTAAATGGTCATCTTTGCCTTTTACTTTACATATAAAACAAAGAGGGCCATTTTCTAAAAATCTGGATGTTTCACACACAAACATACAGGTACACAATGAGTATAATAAGGTATTTAGCACGTGTTAGCACTAATACAAAGAATTATGAAAACTTAAACAAGATAACGATATAAACAAATAAAGGGTTAATACCCTAAAATCCCATAAACTATCATGCTTTTGTTAGTTTCCTACTTAAACTATTCGGTGTCCCCAAAATCCCATAAACTATATTGCCCTTCATATTAAAACCTCCTCGTTGCTGACCTGGAGCGCCTGACAGCTGAAAAAAGTCATCAAAATAGCCCACATGATAGAAAATAATGGCTAATTAGCCAAACCCCTATCAAATTTATTTTTTCAAATAAATATTCTCCTTATTTCAGTTATATCCACATTTCTTCCTCATTTTTTCACCATTCTTCCTTATTTTTTCATCGTTCTTCTTTATTTTTCACCTTTTTTTTCAATTTTTAACCTTTTTCCTTTAGTTCTCCATATGGTTTCCTCTAAAAAAATTGTCCCCTCTTGTTTTCTCTAAAATAATTTATTCTTTTTCTTATTTTAGTCTTCTTTCATGTCTTACACATATTGTTGATAGAATATTAATTTAAATCTTCTTATTAAACTCAATACCTTGTAGAGAATGAAGATGGATCTCTTGAACCTTCTTTATATAATCTGGAATTGGAGAATGTAATTGCTGGCCAATTGTGTTTTTTTATTTGAGAAATTTTATTTTGTGTAATCTTTTTTTATGTGATATAAGATGATTTTTAAAAATGCAACACTATATGCCTTTATATATTTTTACTGCGCTACAAAGTGAATATAAATAAGAACTTATTCAATTGGAGTCTAGTATAAATCACAATAATAATTATACCTAATATTAATTAACATGGTATGTTAAATATTATTTTGGCCAAAACTCCTAGAATTAATTAATCATTCGAGAGTAATACATCATGAGTAAACTATATAAAAAAATTTTGTACAAACTATAAGTTAATATAGTTAGACAGACGCACCTTTAAAAGTCCAACGTGGGATTTTAATATATAGAGAAATATAGTTCAGGGGGGTTTTGGGAATACCAGATAGTTTAAGTAGGTATCTGATAAAAAAGTAAAAGTTTTGCGGGTTTTAGACTGATTTAAATAGCCACGTGTAGTGCTACATGACACATTTTTTAGATAATTAGGAGCGTGTACTAGACGCACCTTTAAGAATGCAATGAGAGGGTTTTAATATGAAGATCAATATAATTCAGGGTGAATAGTTTAAATAGAAAACTGACAAAAACATGATAGTTTAGGGAGATTTTAAGGTATTAACTCACAAATAAACGAGGAGAATCAACAAAAACTCACTACTAGGTCTTATTTATATTCTATAGGTGCAACTTTTTTATTTATAACCCATGAAATTGTGTGTTGACTTTTTGAACATTTTGTCAATAATTAGCTCTTTTTGGTTGCTGACTTTAACTTCAGGGGAGTTTATTTGTCTCGTTCAAAAGGTGAATGAAGTATTGTTTACCAAACCAAAACATTAGAGCTAAATGAAACTTAATACATTAATTCTCTCGTCCCAATTTATGTAATACTACTAATTAACAGGACAAAGAATTGCTCACGAGGTCAATTGCTAACTACATTCAAGAATGAATTACAGGAGCCTCATATTTTATTTGGGCATTCTGCTAACTGATTCTTATACAAAGGGAGCAATAAAGATATACATTATATGATAATCAGGCCTGCAGGAATTTCAATAAGGAACCTGCTAAGCCGTACATCTTTTAGCTCAAACAATTGAATGCTGTAATCTACATCACTCTTGAGGATTCTAATATCTACATTCTACTACACAAAGTTGAACCAATGACCTGCAAAGCATCTCCAGCGCTTCGTTGAAAGCATATTTATTCATTAGAGAACCGTCACTTCGCAGTACAGGTCGAGTGCTGGCTGCCTTAGCAGATTTCAGGTTCAGCACATATGGTCCAAAGAGCAGGAACAAGTGGCGTCGAGCTACACACTGGTTGATTAATTAAGCACCTTTCTCAGATCATTGATCAACTGCTCTCTGTTTGCTGGCTCAACCTGCATTTGAGACCAATACGTCAGTTTCTTTAAAAACCTTGAAAAAAATAATAACAAAATGGTAGGATGACAGCTTATTGAAGTCTCAGCGACAAAGTAGGAATCTGATAGCTAACCTTTTGTAGGAGAGCAGCAAGACCCTGTGGTAGAGCACGTAAATCCAATGTTGAATCACCAATCTTGGATAGTTGAAGTAACACCTTTTGTACTCGCAACTGTTGTAGGCTTTCCTCGTAGTTATTAGGGTCGTTCTTCCATGAGAAGAAAGCGTCGTCATCTGCCCAAGCATCTTCTCTGCCTTCTTTTGAATCCAGAAACCACCTTTTCACCATGTCCATTGCAGATTTGTGAGAAAGCTGGTCACCGGCAGCATCCCTCACAGTTTTGATCAGTGTCTCCTCCTCAACCCTTCTGAACAATCGCCTGTAGAAGAACGAACGAGAAGTTTCCCAATTTACCACTTCCCTGACTACCCCCTTTGCAGCCATTCTAAATGAAGTATCGTGCAGTTCCGCAAACTTGGTTGCTATTTGAGTGTATACTGGCAAAAGCTGCTTCTCACGTGTTTTTATTTGCTGCTGTATGGTTTCAATATTAGCATATACCCTAGCAGTCTTGGCTTCCTGAAGCTTTGACTTGAGATCGATAAGCTGTTGATCAAGCCTACCCATGCACTCAAGCAATTCTTTTGCCCGGAATTTGATCTCAATCATACCTTCAGGCTCAAGGACATTTCCTCTAGCTGTTCGTTCAGCATACATTTCAATATGGTCTGAATTGATCTTACTATCCACAACCACCCATGCCCCACCACGGAGCTCACCCATCATAGGAATGTAGACGAAAACAGGCTGTTTGTATGTTCTAAGGTTCTCAACAATGGTTGATCCAGCCTGGAGGATACCTTCAAAAAGGTCCCTTTGTCCACCTGAAAATCCCCTCCAGTTGGCAAGAATGAAAAGAGGTAGCTCCTCCCTATTGAAATCCATCAGTGCTTGAGCTGTCTTCGTTGCGGAGTCAGGAAACCATACTTGCCCTGCTTGAGGGACAACCCTTTCATGAGAATCAAGCTGTCCAGGGTCGGCAGGGATTACTTGCATCATAGTTTGGGTCTCAACAGCAACTATTCCTACAGGGATTCCTCCAAGTTTTGCCCGTCCTGTTACAACGGTTCTTGCCCAGCCTTCCAGTGTCTCAACGAAGCTATCCCTGTCGAAAACGCCACCTAACCACTTTCCACTTGGATCTGTAAAGCCAGAGATAGCTGCTCTTGGATCGCATGTCGTCTCAGGGAAATACTCAATAGGTCTCTCTGGAGGATCCAAGGGAGTCAAAATAGGAAGTGGACCACCAGAGTATGGGGGAACAAAGCTCAACCACTTCAAGATCGCAGACACCCCCTCAAGGTCATCTGAGACAGTCAGATGAACAACACCATTAGTTGCCATGATTTTAGGTCCACCAAGTTGCATGTGCGAGCTGTAGACTTCTCGACCCAAAAGTTTGTTAAGTGCAGAATAACCAGTCAGAATTATAGGCTGATCGAGCCTCTGTATACACCGCATGCCAAGACGAGCAAGATAAGCACCTATGCCCACAGTTCTGCCAGTTACGTATGTCAAGGTAAATGTTTCATGGTATGCCCGCGAATATGCACTGGCAATGGCTCCACTACCACTTAAGTTCTCAACTCCGAGGCCATCCTCTTTTCCTATTATAGTATCTATAACCCATCGGATCTCTCCATCTGACAACTTCAGTTCATGAGCAATGACAGAAGATTTCATTCGTTCATGATCCTCAGGAGTCAAGTAAACATACTGAAAACCCCGCTCAGGGCTCAATTCATCTGACCACCCAACTCTAAAGCAAGATTTGACCTCCTCTGCAGCACCAATACGAGCCCCTGAATTTGCTGCCAAATAAATAAGTGGCAACTTCTGGGTGCAAGCAACATCAGTCATAGCTTGGAAAAACGCATCCTCTCTTGGACCAAAAGATCCATTTCTGAAAGTCACGTCATTTGCTACAATAATAATTTTCCTTCCTGTTGGGAACTCAGGAGTAGACATTTCTATAGCCCATGCCACCATACCGACGTCATTGTGGCCAGGCTGACGCTCCACAGGGACAAGAAGAGTACCCCAACTACCTTTTTGGTCAGGAAAAGCTAACTCTGTGGCTTTCAAGAGGATCTTACCCTTAGGCCTCTCTATTAGTGGAGCCTCAGTGGCCCAAGACTTCTCCAACGCGGCTTCAAAGGCCTGCACAAGGGTTGTTTACAAAAGGTTGATACTAATCCAGATGATAATACCCAATATAAATGACTACTTTAGTTTGATGTTTACCAGTGGGAAATCGTAGCAGTAAGTGGTGTTACTCTTCCGGGCCAAAAGCCGTTTCTGGTCAAGCACCCCTAATGGTGGATAAGGTGCAGTAACAGGTACACCATGTAAAGGACCATCCCGGGAGGCTGAATGATAGACAGCTCTTTGTTCAGACACATTCTCAACTTCCCGATAGATCTGAGAGTTGAATTACCAATACTATGATGTCAATCTTAAATCAAAGTGTTTCATGAACACAATACATGGCGAGAGAATAAAAGTCATGACACTTTCATCATATAAAAATTATAGGTTAAGACCATGGTTTAACCCAATAGAACGGAACAAGATATGTGAGTCCCTTGGCACTAATACAGAATGTACACAGTTTCCATCATAGTCATAGTAACTTCGATCCCTATACCAAAAGAATATACAACAATTAAACCTCAGTTTTAAACAAGTTAGGGAGCGGCTATATGAATGCTCAGTGACTATGTTTTTTCATTTATATTTATACAAGGCCAAAATGAGATTAAAATATAGAGTACTAGAAGTTCTTTATATTTTATACTGGCAAAAAAATCTCTGATAGAGCTAAAATACTCCTGGAAAGCATATGGAAAGATCAGCCAATAAAAGAAAGTAATCGTTTCCAATCCAAGCCCAAACTATGGACTGATGTTTTTTCAAGTTGTGCATAAACACCACAAGCAGATAGTTATCAGATAAATTCCAAATTAGTTACTAAAAGACACTTACATGCACAATGCAGGTGTGCCCTGTCACATTTGCAACCACAACCCTCCAAGCACCATTGGCTTCTCCTGCAGATGATATCCAGAGTTTCACTTCCCACTCACATACACCTAACCTATGCATCCTAACACCGACAGATGTATTAATTTCACAAGCCAACTCTTTCAAGAGTTTCTGAACAGCACCTTCTTCGTGCTCATTGTTTAGGTCTGCCCTCCTGTAGTGGATTTATGGGGGAAAAAACAATTAGCTTAGCATGCCAATTTTTTACCTAAATAGCAAGCAGAACTCCTTAAAATTTCTTACTTATGATAGGGAAATAGATCATCTATCTGTTGCTCGCGCAAAATGTACAAGTACATATGAGCATGGTCAGATTTTAACGTTGTGCTATGGAGATTAAGTTCAAGCTCCTCCAGGGCAGATGTTAAGGACCTCAAGATGCTCCTTGAAGTAAAAGACAAAGCCAAAGGAGATGGAGCGGTTCCCCGATACAATCCTTGATATGCTAGTAGACCTTCATCTGATGTGGGTTGTCTTACAAGTGTTCTGAGAAACATTCTCCGGATTGGACGTGGCTTGTCTACAACAGAATAAAGATGCCATTGACGGTCCCGGGATGGAGTGTACTTTATATTATCATAGCCCTTAAGCTTGTCCTGTATTGTTGGGAGATTATGAACGTAAATTAGCTCTTAGAACCAAAAGGATAATAATAAAAGTGTACAAGAAGCATGAAAAAGAGTTGCAGAATATAGACCAATTCAAGGTAAATGGATAGCGGAGGCTCCAGATGACGCAACAGAGGCTCCTCCTCATAATACAGCTTCACAAGTGACCAGTGAAAGGAGTGCCTCATTGGACCTCGGCCTTCATCTCTCTGTATGATGCAGCTGATAACCCCAACACCTGCACTTTTAAGGCTGGTGCTCACATCTTTCTCTCTTAATATTTTAGCTAACTTGTTGATCCTTTCTTGAGCCTGATCTTCATCGCCACTGCAGTAGTGTATACCAATGATAAGCAAGAAAATAAATACATGTTACTCTGGTTTCTAGCAAATCAGTGGATCAGATGCACAAGCAAGAGATTTAGCATGCCACATATGAAGATGTATGAAATTACTGTGAGAAACTTGCTTCTCTCTTATATCATCCAGGTTAAGGCCAATACTTACTTTTTCTATTTACTAGTGCAGCTAATCCAAGATTAAGGAGAAGTGCTGCATTCATCTAGTTTGATCATCTGCTAAGTAAGGATGCTGAAATTATTGCAACCCTATCTCAAATTTAACAACAGATTTAAACAGATATTTCTGTAGTCTTTGATTTACCTACATCTACATAACATCCAAAGTAGCAGTTTAGAGTGGATTCAAAGGACACTTGTGATACCTATCCTGAAGCAAACTCATTTGATTGTTGATGCCCACCAATGCAATATGCAGCATGTTGCCATGATTGGTTGGTCGAACCGATCCATTTGACATCTCTTTGTGCAAGTTGTGTGCTGTTTCCCTCAATGCAGCAGTTAATACTGACGGCAAGAGTTGGAGAGATTTGATTATTACCATGGCTCCCCATTTTCTTTCGCTGCGTTTTTCAACTAATGGTTTATCCATCTTATTGTCTTCAGACCCATTCTTTCTCTCCACATGTTCTTCTAAGAACTCCCATGTAGCTATTAGCCCAGATCTGTGCCACTGCATCCTCACACTCTCCTTAACAAGGTAGGGCTGGAATAGTTATCAAAAGTTAGATTTAAAATCATATATATCTGACAAAAATAGGCAAAGCAAGACAAGTAAAACCTTAAAAAGCAGAAACACAGTACCTGATATAGTCTTCGAACATAAGTCTCCACAACCCTCCTCTGAAGGGTGTGATCACTGTGATCAAAAAGACCTACAAGTGCATCTTCGACAGCTAACGGAGCACTTACTAGAACTTCCATTCTTTCGTTGATGGCACTTTTCCGCTTAGGTGTATCCATATTGTCACCTTCTTCAGTGAACATCTCTAACTCAGAAAGACTTCTGGCAATGCTTGAACGTAGTTCACTCAGTTTAGTTTGCTCTAGAAGTTGACTTGCCTTCAGTGCCAACTGCAGAGAATAATTTAGACGTAGGAATCACTCTTAAGGAGTTCTAGGTGACTTGATAATACAGTAACTATTAAGAATCAGACAATGTTCTTAAATAGTCACCAAAAAAATGAGCATAAGAAGTCGTATTAGTAGTGCCTGAAAGTGGAAACAGAGGGAGGACCTTTCCCTTTAATCTTTTCGTTTTCCTCTTTCCTTTATCAAGGGTCAGTAAATTAATGCAATTGAGGATGGTGGTCGGGCTAGATAGTCAAGCAGGCATAAGAACCATCTTTGATTGATACCAACATTGTGAAGTGATCAAGAAAATGTGTACCAAGTCTACAAGGTCCACGCGACAAGAGGAATCAAGGAGTAGATCAGCAAAGGAAATGTTACTAATGCTGATCTTGAAGAACTTCCAGGCAGTGAGCTTGATAAATGACTATTGCCAGGTTAAGCATACAAATGACAGAAACGTGGCCTCAAAGAAGAGGAAAGAAGAGATATTGATAACTTGATAAATACAAGACAGACGTATTTATAGGTGTCAAATACAATGCACATGATATTTGTCTAATGTGTGAATATATCTAACTCAAGAAATTAGCTTAAGGACCAACCTCAGAATAATTCGTATGGTTGAGTGCTGAAAAACGGATAAGTTTGTCCCTGTATGCTGCCGGATTTGGATATACCAACTGCTCCATCAGACTAAGTATAAGCTTATTTTTACGCCTAACACCCTGGAAAATAACACATTATTAATACATGATACCTTCCGGCATAAATCGGACCAGAAAAAGGAACTCCTGTCATATTAATAGTTTGCTTTTGTACTAATAAACAAAACAATTAACAAATATGAATAGTCTGCAAATACCTGATGAGAAAGCACAATGTCAACAACCTTCAGGAGATCTTTTGTGTATTGAAGTCGGAGGCGTTCAATTACATCAGCCTGAAAAAGGAAGGGAAGAGAACTGAACGCAATGTCAATGAAGAATCAAAAAACATCAGATTTATGAGGTCATCTGAGTCCTTCCCTATTTTGTGATTGTAGATTTTATCTGATTTCTTTGAGTAATAACAGTGACAAGTTTGAATCGTTAACTGAGAGAGAATGGAGAGATAATCTGAACATCATTCGTTAGGCTAAAAAGTCAGTTAACAAACAGGCCTCATTTCAGGAAGGTACTGGAAATGCAAACATAAGTTGCCTTTTTTTATCATCTATATGTGCTCAAGGGCTTCTACTAGGATAATTTACCAAAAAGAGGACAGCTACAAATCAAACAAAATACATAAAAAGATGTAAAAAATATCTAAGTATTTATACTAATGGAAACGAGTGTCTGAAAGCCTTGTTCAGTTAATCAAAATGAGCTGCTTCATTGAGAATGAGGACCACAGCTATTAACTACACCTTGTTAGCGGTTATTGTGTATCACCTCAGATGTTAAATGTCCTCATATCTGGAAAAACTCTGTTACTATAGGTCTATGCCATAGAATACTCTGCTTAGACTTTGACAACAACAAAATTCAATTAAAGAAATGGAAAAAACCTTCAAGGAATTTTCAGTGATAAGAGGTTAGGGCATTGTGTCTGCTATGTAGAACTTCTTTAAAATTTCTAGTATTTAATTAACTTGCTACATTATGAATCATCATTGTTTCCTCTTATGATATACTAATAAACTAGGACAAAAAATTTTAAGAACTTTGTTTAGCCTACATCCATCCAAGTCAGAAGCTTGTCAAACTTAAACACGTGTGGATGATTATAACAAATAATTTGTTTGCATAGGCAACTGACCTGGATGTTGTCACTGAACAATTCTTCAACAGATAGATACTCTTCAAAAAGGGAGTGGACAATTCCACGGGCATGACTCTCTCTTCCACCCTCGTAGGACTTGACAACACTCAATAAAGGTTCAACTAATCTTTCTTGAGCTCCTCTTTCTTTATCGGAGCAGGACCTTAAGTGTGCCTGTACCAAGATAGAGATAAAACACATATAAATGAATACTAGTATCCAGATAAATAAAAAATAACAAGGTATTATGTCAAAGAAAGAGGAAAATGATAAAAGACTCACTTCAAGAACGCCTCTCAGAATTCTGGCTGGAAATTCAACATTTTGCAAGCTGAAAATGCCCTCATACTCCTTATATTTTGCTTCCAACTGAAAGGAGAGTACACGGCAAAATTATGAGCTAGAAAAAACTACAACTTTTTCCCCAATGGAAGAAACATCAAGGGTCCTTTACCTCATTCCTCAGGTCCTTAGGAAGTCGTGTTGCCAGCACTGCTAAGCACTCTTGCCACTGCAGGAAGGGAAGCTCAGGACTATCCAGGCAACTTAGCAGGTTTTGAATCACCTGGACAGAAAAAGAGTTTCATTTCATCACTTGGAGAAAAATGATTTATTTATGTCTACTTAGCTGAAAAGCATGTTCCACAAGCAGTTGTTTTCCGCACCACATCATGTAATTAATTATATGAGATTACTTACTTCATCAACATTTTTTTTGATGAAGTACGGTGTTAATATTGATGGCATCAAGAAGATGCTACTTACTTCATCAACATTATGCTCATATCCAGCAAGAATCATCCTTGCTGCATTCTGACTTGCAGCACACCTCTGATGAACTTTTCCAGATATTGCAGTTGGAGGTCCCAGAAGCGGAAAACTTCCACGAAAAGGCTCTGCTTTTCTAACAGCTGAAGGGTCATCTAAATCAAGAGATGCTATGAGCTCACCAGCCTACAATTAAAGTTACATTTTTGTTTTTAGAATCTGTAAAGGACAGAAATACTATGGTCATATGACAATATGGTTACCTGCATTGCTTGACCATCAGACATCTTAAAATGGATAACTCCTGAAGCAGGTGAAAGAAGGGGCATGCACATCTTCATAACCTCAACCTCTGCATAAGGTGTATCAGCATCAACATGACTGCCATCAGATATCAAATATCTCAAAAGTTTGCACGGTGTCTCTGCCACTAGCTTTGATGGATCATGATCATTCTGAAAGCAAGGAACTTTATGTGATAAGAGGGTGCAAGTTCTTAAAAAGCAAAGACATACTGGAAACTGAAAATCTATTGGCACCTGCAGCAAGCAAGTCCTTCCGTCAATAAGAAGACGAGTTCCAGCCACTTCCTCCTCAGCATATATAACATGACTATTTCCGTTCAGCTGCAGTGATCAAGTGAACTTAGAACGTAGATCTATTTCAAAAGTGAAAGGAAATCGATGTAGTTGATTTCTCAATATTGTTTCTACAAGGTAATATACAACATAGAACAATAAGGGGTCGTTTGGTTGGAATACGATTTATACCGGTACAACTTATGCCAGTATAAGTTATATTGGGATAAGTTATGCTGGGATTGTTATTTGTTCATTGTTTGGTATGTTGTATTAAGAATGACAATTGCATAATTTCTAAGAAGAAGGTATAAGTTATACCGATGCTAATTACCCCACCTTCTATAAGCTATAAGTTATCCCAATGTTAAAATTAACACCGGTATAACTTATACCTGGTTTGCAAACCAAATAGAGTATTAAGGTAGTATTAAATTTTTATATCACCCTTATACCTTCTTATACCTCATACCAAACGACCCCTAAGGCTATTACAAACAATGGTGCAATTTGTTAGAAAATGGCAGTAGCAAGTTGTAGAGTGATTTATAATTGCCTGCATCAGTAGTCCTCCATCACGCAGAGTATGTATTTCTGCTTCAATCTCTGATTCGTTCATTCTCAACCTATAGCTTCCTGGCCCTCCCTTCACCATATTTATCTGAGAGACACAACCACCAAACCAGTTAGTTGCAGACCATCCAGCTTGGCCAGAATAAAAAAAGGAAGAAATGGAATTAACTTTCTAAATCTTTCTTCTTGAGATAGAAGGATATTTCCAAAATTTTCCAACATCTATCCTTATCTACCAACACCAATCAAGGCCCACAGGAAACAGCTTTGTGCCATGAAGTGAGCAAAACACATTACTTACAGTGTACTTGCTCCCTTCAATATTTAGTGAGACTTGAGAGTTCACAAGAGAAATATGCTGCACACAGAAGGTTGACAGGTTATTTTGAAGTTGATACAGACAAAATGGGAAATGCAGACAGAGACAAGCATTCTGTGTCTGATACCTTGGGCGGGATTTGTCCTTTTTCAAGATAACCAACATACTCAGAAACCAAGGCCGCACCACTTGCAGATGCTTTCTGAGTCAGAAAGATTAACAGGAAAAGGAAGATATTAGCCACTAAATTTGCATGTACTTTTTTATGATCATTTAAGTTTGCAATTAAATTGTCCAGGATTAAAATATTTAAAGACCTACTCCTAAATTTTATAACTTACATAAAGAGCTCCTCCAACCACAGAAAGATACCAGGGAGGTCTTTCTGCTCTAACCCTCATAGCAATTCTACTATCCAACCAGCCTGTGTGTATTTTGTTCTCTCTATAATCAGAGGCCTGCGGTAACGTCCAACTTTATAAAAGAGAAATAAAACTGAGGAGTCAGGCTTAGAGTTGTGCATCTAAGACACCTACATGTAATAGATCAATTGTGTAATCAACATTTGTGCGAATTTCTCCACGTATCTGAATTTCCTTCAGTCCGAGGACCATGTTTGCAATGGCTAGGGCTCTGGATTCTCCAAATGCAAAAATATGTCCTGTGGGAAGATTTAAAAGCCCATAAGTTTCAGAAGGTCAAGGCATGATGCCTAGAAGATGCATGGAAAAGATCTTCATGAGAGATTTTAACAGTTTCCAGCCATGGGTGTGATAAGATGGTATCATGAGGAAACAACTGCATAATTGAAATTCAACGTACCAAACTGAGAATCTGAAAACTCATGAATGCCTCCACCAGACTGCAAGCAAAAAATATCTTTAAGCTCAGCAATAATCCAAAGATTCCAATGTTTGTTTCCATTTACTTTACAAGCACATACCTTTACAGAGAAGTAGGCCCACACATTCGGCTTGCTTTTAAAACTCAGCTCCTACAGGATGTCGTTAGATTAACATTGATTCATCCTAAAATCATGAGATTATGTAACGAAAGTGAATTTTTTCAGTAGTTGTCAATCCCGACCTGTACTTTACCACTGGTAGGCTTAAAACCATCATCAGGATCCTCACTTGTAACACGAACAGCCACACAATGACCTTTTGGCTTTGTTGATTCAGCCTTGTCGAAATCAAACGGTGTGGCAACAATTGATGTTTTTCTCCAAGCATCATATCCTCCACCATGTTCCATCCCGTAGAATCGCCTTATTTCTAATATAATCACAAACGAGCACTAAATAATGGAGGTGAAGGAACCAAAACATATTAAGCCAAGGAAAGTGACAAGGTAGGGAGTAAACCTGGAATTTGCCACAATGGGATCCCCATTCCGACAGCAACTTGGGCTGCTGGCAGATTCATTTCTGCAATCCATTCAGTTACGGGGTGTTCCACCTAATAGATGTGGAAAATATAAGAATATTTCTTGACAAATTTCAAGAACAAAATGAAAATGAATTGTATTAAAAAAAAAAGAAGCTTTTACAGTGGCAATCAACATCAAATTACTTCATGTATTTTAACCGTTGATGCATTGGCCTTTAAAGACAATGAAACAATAACTATCTATAATGGCAAAACAAAACTATTTTGGATCGCCTATACTTGGTGAGTAACAAAATTTGGCATGGGCCTGCATGATGCAGACTGCAAATGTAACCAACCTGTAACCGTGGGTTGAGTTCTAAGAAGTAGTACTCTCCCGTATCCATACTATAAAGGTACTCAACGGTGGCAGCTCCAACGTAATTCACGGATTTGGCCAGTCTTCTAGCAGCCTGCTCAAGTTTTTTCACCGTCTCTGGAGAAGCAATTGTTATTGGCCCTTCTTCAATAATCTAAATATCAAGATATTGAGCATATTAGTGACAACAATCAATTTACGTTTACCCTTGGCTACCTCATGCAGATTCCTCTGTTTGTCTCACATTTGCAAATATAAGATGAGTAACTTTTTCTCCATCATGAATCGCTAAGCAATAGCCAAAAGTTAAATATAAACTAACCTTTTGGTGACGCCTTTGAACACTGCAATCACGGCTGTGCAATGCTGCAACATTGCCATATTGATCACAAAGCAACTGGACTTCTAGATGTCGACTCTAGTTAAAAAAAGAAAATTGATAATAAATAGAGGACTTCCATTATTCAGAAAGGTTTTCTCTCTAAGGCTAAGTCAGTGCATTAATGTCGGACAAGATGGAAGTGGTCTAACCTGGGAAGCAACTTTCATTATAAATATGGGGGAGCCAGGAACTTCACCCTGAACTTGCTTGAACAGTGCTCTTACTTCATCATCATTATGAACCTGAAGTGAGCAAGAAATAGCTAAATACCCAATGATTAGGTAGAGTGAATACCTTGTGAGCTCTTCCAACATTTTCATTCGGGAAGGAAATGCTAATGAAAGAACATATCACATTAATATTGGTTAGATAAGCTAATGTAACATCAAATAATAAGCAGCTAGACTACTTGCAGTAACATCTGTTAAGGGACAGACCTTTCTTATGCCTTTACCGCCACCTCCCCAGGATGCTTTAATCATAGCCGGGTAACCTACATCTTGACAACTAGCAATTGCTTCTTCTGTTGTATAAACACATGCTTTGGAATATATTTCATCTGGTATAGAGATCAAGCAGCTCTCTGGAGGAATTTTGACCTGGAGATTAAGTATTGTCAAGCATACTGACACTATGAAACAAATGGAGCAAAACCCCAACATAAAGACTTACGTGGGAGCCACTCCATGGGAGAGTTGGTACTTGTGCAGCTTGAGCAATCAATGATGAGCCTACTTTGTCCCCAAGTGCTGCCATTGATGTAGCAGGTGGCCCAAGGAATACGATCCCCTTTGCACACAATGCATCGGGTAGTTCAGGGTTTTCTGATGCATGACCCCAACCAGGCCAAACTGCATCAACATGAGTTATCTCCGCCATCTAAACAAAAGAAAGTAAACACTGTCTCAGCAGTTTTCAAACTTGTTATGTCATGGAAGGCATCCAAAATATGTTCAGCTCCAAATCTGTTAAAAGAAAAATATCATATTATCTTCACAATTTTCATTGTTTTGGCATAAAGTCCCTGTTCCCTCTACATGCAGGTTTTTAAGACTGCGGACAGACACACTAACATGCACAGAAAAACATGTCATTTGGCTTCTGATGAAACGTCAGTTAAAAGGTTATTTTTAATGCAACTTTTACGAATTAGTTGGATAATTCAGCTTGTATATCAGGCTTTGAATGCTAAATTCTTAAGAAAGAAGTCCTAAAAAAGGAAAGATGTTTACAAACCTCAACAATGAGCTGCACATTGGCATAATTGTTGTTATTTGTCCCACCAGGAACTTCTACAAACTGATCAGCTATTCTAATGTGCTCCGCATTTATTCGCATGTCCTCAGGTGTAGCCATTGCCACCAACAATATTGCCTTCTCTGTGCCAAATGTCTCATAAGCCCACGTCCTAATACTACGTATAAACTTGACCGCAGCCATTCCATTGTTTGCAATTAAGATACTATGAATAGGCTGCTTTCCACCGAGGGTATTACAGAACTCAGCAACTTCCGATCTAGCAATTGGAGACCTCAGTGGAAGCGCACCATTAATATATCCATCGCCATTTTTTATGCCTATCACTGCTGGCCTCCTTTGAGATTCTGACATATTGCACTGCCTGAAACCAAAAGGGACTGCATTTGGTTACTTGCAATCATCAAACAACTCAATTAACCAAAAGACAGCTAAGAGACAAAGCACTAACTAATAGAGTACTTCTTGATCTCCTACGGCATACTCTAATTTCTGAATTAAAAAAAGCTATTAATTCAATTTCAAACAAAACCAAATGGTGATCATAACAAAAATTCCAAGAAAACAACTTTACGTAGGATCAAAAGCATAAACTTATGTTAGCCAAAATTAGAAGAAAATAAAAGATCAAAATACTTCCAAAAGGAGAACCAAAAGAAAATAAAAGTAAAGTAAAAAACCCCAAGATAACAAGCATATACAGTTGAATAGATACAAATTACAGCTTTAAAGTTCAGCAGAATTCACTGAGATGCATTTCACAGTTGGCATTAAAGAAAGCCAAAAGAAAAGAAAAAAAACTCAAGAATTGAGAACAGAATGAGCCAATTGTTTATCCAATGAAGTCCAGTTACACATTAAAAATTGACCAAAACAACTAATATTCTCAAAAAAAGAAAAAAAATAGCACCTTTCACAGTTTGCAGTAAATTCAGACTCTTTTTCAGTATGATGGAGCCTATAACTAAAACCCCACATTAAGAAAAGAAGTAATATACACCCAAAAGGTAGAAATATACTAAATTGGCATTTAAATTTTACCAGAGTTTGAGAAAAAATTCACCTTTCCGGGTAAATGGCAAAAAGCTGCAATCTTTAGAGAAAAGAAATGGAAGTGAGGGAATTCTTGAA